ATTTAAATAATGTGGTTCACTGTAATAGAATTTTCTTGGAAGCTTGTGCCATCATCCACCAGATGGGTTAGTTTTTTGTTTTGATTTGAACAAAGTTGATTTTGTGTACAATGATTCTTTGACAGTGTGCAAAGAGTGCGTATCATTTTGTCATTTTTTATGCATTTCAGTTTTGAATAGAGTGAAAGAGATAGAACCAAAACATTCTAATACACGCAGAAAAATTTATTGTTGAAACAAAAATATTTTAGGTAAATTTAAACGTAAACTCAGTTTGTTCTGGCCACAAAAATAAAAAAGGTTTATTTCAAACGTATTCCATGTTTGAAGTCATGTGATATTAATGTTTAAAATAAAAATAATGTTACGTTTATTTTAAAAATATTCGTGTTGAAAATAAACGTGAATATTTTTGTTTGGTTAGAAACCTATGCGAACAAAAATAAATATTTTTATTTTGAACATGCTTCAAATGTTTGAAAGAAACATACTTAATTTTAAATTATATTAGCATTCGAATGTAGGATAAAGCAAAAAAAAATGGATTGCAATGAGACGAAAAAAACGATCTGCAGACAGGGCATCTAAACTCCTGCTCTTTTTCGGGTGCGATTAAGGGTGGCCTGTGGTTGTTTGGGTCCTGGTCCGACATGCGGGGACCCGTCGGGATGAGTGTCCGGAGATTCCAGTTCAGTAAAACCAGTGAAACTTTGTGATATTAGCGTCACTTTGTCGTTTCTAACGCTGGTCCTCACACCGGCCTCTTTCTACGTTCGGTGTTGGAGGATCCGGAATAGATTCAAAATCCATTTCGGATTTTCGTTTTTCTTGTGAAGTTGTGAAGGAGGATGATACAGGGATCGGCATCAGAAACGACAGAGTGACGTCGATACTGTGGGGTTCCTCCGGTTTTATCGAGCTTGAACTTTGTTCAGACACTTACCTAGGTGGGTTTCCGGATCCATGATTTTGGTTTTGTTGCGGGCCATTTTCATAGTTGATTGGCAAAGCCGGGGCAATTTTTTTTCCGAATGTAAACAAGAAGGAAAAAAGACAGGGCACGCTAAAAATCGTTTACCCAAATCATATATTGTTGAAATAAACATGCTTTTGACTTTAATTCAAACATATATATATTTGTTGCAAACATGTTTTTAATTTATTTTGAATTATTCGTATATTTATAGAATGAACATTTATATTTTTGATTTAAATGAACAAAATTCGGTTCCGTGTATAAAAAAATCAATCGATTTTCACCATCTTTAGACATTGGTTTACTTTTAACCATTTTTCAATAGTTTACAGAACAAAATCAATAGTTTTGAAACATTCAGCAAATATTTCCAATCGATTGATGCCATTATCTCGTAAATCTATCGAGAGACGGTTGAGTTATTATCGTTCAAAATCTTTTAATTTTTCGTAACGCATCCAAAATGACTGTTTTCAATTTTGTATCCCCGTATGTTGCCGAAAGACGTTATCCAACGTCAAAAACTTCGGCGCGCTTTTCTTGGTCTGCTGTCAAACAAAATAGCCGAGAAAATAGCTACCCATATCGGGTTGCAAATCGGTCTTCAAATTTGAAGACCTGCTACTACCCGGGAGCTCGCCCGGGAGTGCGTTCACGGTAAAGTTGCTATTTGGCACACCCATTTAGCACCCCGCGGTGGGAGTCATTTGGAATCTCGGTGAAAAAATTTAAGTGTGTATTAACCCACACAGCAAAAAAAAAATGTGATATCGATCAATGTAATTCAAGCTGATGTATGAAATAATGATGTAATAGCAAAAAGCAGATACAATATTACATCAATGGATGTAATTTTGTTCGCAAAATCGATGCACATCGTACAACGTTATATTACACAACCGATGGATTGACCTGGTTGCAGCAGTTTGGATGTAATATTCAACAACTTTTTTTTTCTGTGCATTATTAAATTTTGTTAGGTCCACTTCCAAAAAAAACCATAATACATCCCGACCAACCATTCGTGAAACTTCTTCAAAGTTCTTTATACAGAAATAAAGATTTATGTCGGCAATTCTTTACTTTAAATTTTCTATGATTTCGATGTACACATTTAAAAATCTTTGTTGATCGATACTTACATTTAAGATAATTTCTTCCTCGGTCATATGATAGTAATCTATAAAGGTGCCATACTAATTTTTTTTAATTTCGATATGTCACATGGACTTTAGTATTCTTTGCAAATATTCATCAATAAATATTTAAATACTGATATCATCGTAACTTTGAACTTTGACAAAGAACAACAAAGATTGCTATCGATGCACATTTATAATCTCCTTGTTATCGACTTGCATCGCAAGAGAGTTCGAGACACACCAGGTGACAGATGGCAATGTTTAAATTATTTATCGACATATTCAGCATTTCATCAGAAGAAGCAATCTGCCGGTAAATGAACGAGAAGACCGATGGCCGCGACGCAGCAAATGTTTACAATTGTAGTTCTTCAAGTTTACGTCTATATATTTAATAACCCGTTATAGCATGCGTGGTGGGATTCTCAACATTTGGAACCTGTTGGTAACAGCCAAAATGAATCAAATTCTATAAACTTTATTCACCAACCAATGTATTTCAGCGAATGAAAGTTATAAAATTCCTGTGGAATACTCCGTTAAGTTAGGCTAATTTAGGATAATTTTCATGTAATGCTTACATTTAGTGATTCTCGCTGTATGGCAATATAATTGCTTGAGAGATCCAACAACTCTCGTAGGTTTAGGAAATCTGTAGGTTTAAGTTTAGTTTACTAATGTGTGCCTTGGCTCTAGATATAAAGTCTCACCTATCAACGGTAACAGAACAGCCGAATTTGCTGGTAGTTATAAGTAATCGTTTAGGCGTAGGTACCTATTTAGATGTTTGTGTTAAGGATCATGTTTTAGGTTTAAATTCTTTTTACCTCACCTTTTTCCGGGCCACATATAACTTATTCAGAAGGCAAGTAGAAGTTCTAGTGGTTCATCGATACCTTAATAATAGCACATAATAGGTTAAGAATCTTCCTGTCATACTATTTCATATTCTCACCTCTAGATTAAGAATCAATAATTTGCAACTAATATTTAGCACTCAAGTTCACTAGGTTTAGTTCACTAGGTTTAGTTCACTAGGTTTAAGCAGTAGATTTAGTGTATATAATAAGTATATATATAAGTAGTTTTAATTTTCGCAATTGGCAGGGCAATTTCACTTTTGTTTTGTCTTCTTTCCATAGATTCGATTTGTTTACATCCTGACCACTTTTTCCTCTCACCGCGTGACAATCCCTCGTATAGCGATGGGTGTGGTTGCACTCACTCGTCAGTGGCGTAGATCAGCGGTGGGAGTACACACATCTGGAGCGGGCGTAACCAACAGAACCCAATGAGGTAAATTGATACCTTTTTGACCTCTATTACATTTTTGAGACTATTACATGGCTGACTAGTTGATCGTTATGACAAATAAATTTATATAAATATTGAATTCATGTACAGAAATTTCAATACACCACATACACCACATACCACACACATGTGTTTGCCTGTCGTTGATAAGCTCATCAACAGCAGCTGTGGACCCGAGGATTAGCAACCAACAACGAAATCAGTACACCCCAGATGGCATGGGATCGAAACTAGAAATTATGCAGATAAAAAATCACAAATAAAATCAGCAGTTGTGTATCGATATTTTGATTTTACAACAGAAATCGATATTTTGATCTGGCAACACAATCGTAACGATTGGTAGCAATATTTTGAGAATGATCTTTATAAACGTTTCACGGTTATACAATTATTCATGAAATGGTGACGATCGCTATCGATTTTTCTTATGAATGGCTTTGAAGATCGGTGTATAGAAAATTAAAGAAAATTAACGAAATGGTTGGTCGGGATAAGGCTAAAACTTGATCAAACAAACGTTGATGTTAAGTTCCATAACCAACAGTTAAAGTTTAGCAGTAATTATATAAAATGCTTAACCATTTTCGGTAAGGTCAATTTATGGTTCGCGCTTATGCGGGATTTCACATAGAAATTCGCCTAATAAAAATGTGTGGAATTTTTTGAGTGTGGATTTATTATGCTTTTATTAGAGCAACCGTAACGGTCGTTGTCATTTGAGCGACTATTTTAACAGCGCACAGCGCTCTCATTTTAGTTTAGTCACTCTTCTCCACACCGGTCGCTGCTATCGCAGTTATCAATTTACTCGCCGTAGTCCGTACCGGTAGTGAGCATTTTGACATTTCTACGAATAGCAACCTTTCTCCCGCGCTGCTATCGCGCTGCTAAATTTGGTAACGCGCTTCTCACCGAGAAGCCGACTACTATTTTAGTTACTCGTATGGCAACCCCCGATACGGTAGCTGCGCTATGATGAGGGCTGCTAAAATGAGTTTAGCAGCGTACCGTTACGGTTGCTCTTATAGAGCTTGCTGACGTTTATCGTATGCACACTACACAGAAATTCAAAACAACCCAAAATTAAGTTCTTTTCACTCATCTCCCATGTTCCGTACAATAAGCCAAATTTGGGTAAACCGGCTCAAAGTAGTTTGCATTTAGGCACGGCAAAAAAAATTACCCATCGCTAAGTAATTTTCAATTTTTTCTACCCAAAATTAAGTTCAATTAACTCAAATTTGGGTATATCGCATATTACTCAATTTTGGCTTCTTGTACGGAACTAGACGGTTGAGTCGAATCTTTCGTTCTATTTTTGACAACAATAGCGAGAGGAAATGAAACGGACAGAGGTCAAATAACTCAAATTTGAGTTTAAAAAACCCAAGCGGTGGGTAGTTTTGTTTTTCTGTGTACGTTACGCAAATGTTTTCATCGGGAAAAAAAACTTCATAGTGAAAAATTTTCCAGATGAAAACAAATCACTGACACAATCACACTTTAGCAATCTCTATACATGACGTGCGGAATCCTCCGCATCTTTCCAATTAGAAAAATAATGTTGGCAACTCTGGTACCATTTTGACAGATTACGTAAGTCGAAAATCTTAGCACTTCGAACGACATCGATAGGTAATCTGCGCTGGAAAGTTTTTAGTGGAATTTTCGCATTAATTCATTCTATTCAAACTAGGTGTGTTAGCTGAGTAAACTTACTTCGTCAGCATCTGCATCAGTAACGATGGCCGCACGCAGAATCGCTCAATCCAGCGTCAACTGGGCCGCCCTGGCCGAACGCGTTCCGCAGAACCAGAAAACTAACCTTACCGCATTCAAGTCGATGAGCGACAAATATCTACGAAGGTACGTATTATGCCGCAACAGAGAAAATGGAAGATGGTTTGCGTAATCAATAATGACGAAAATAGTTTTTTTGTTTTTCGTTTTCCCGACTATTTAATTGTCGTGGCAGGCAGGCGTGATTTTCTGTTGTAATGAAATGTTACTTCCTATTTGTAGAGAACATTTTCAAATAAATTATGTTGAAGACAACTGAGTCGGTAGATTGTAGTGTAACAAACCACTAAAAACATACTTAATATCAGGTCTACCTATTAGTTTTACTGTACGCTGTATTCATCTACCTAATCACGATTACTGAATGCTTTAAACAATAAATGTCACTTCATTGTAGCGTCATGGCAAACCCTGAAACTCCACCAAAGCTCGACTGGGCCTTCTACCAGAAGAATGTCCCTGTCGCTGGTATGGTAGATAAGTTTCAAAAGGCGTATGAAGCCCTGCAGGTTCCTTATCCAGCTGACAACGTAACATCCCAGGTAGAAGCCCAGGAGAAACAGGTCCATGAAGAAATTTCCAAGTTTGTCAAGGTTTCCGAGGGCAGAATTACTGACTACCAGAGCCAAATTGCAGCCCTGAAGGCTCTGCTGCCATTCGACCAGATGACCATGGAAGATTACCGCGATGCCTATCCAGATGTAAGGCTATTCGAATTGGACTCTCGGAATTTAGATTTACTCAAACTGAACTTATTTTACAGCAAGCTTTGGATGCAATCAACCGCCCATCGTTTTGGCCGCACAACCCCGAAGAACAGGAGGTTGGAGCTCCGAATGCTGAGCCTCATCATTAAAGGATTTTTCGAAGCAAAAAAGGAGAAATACGCTAGCAAAGCTAATTGCTGTTTAGAACATCAAGCTACAAAATTTAATTGAATAAAAACTCATCGTAAGAACAAAACGAGTCAGTTTAGAGCTATAAAAAGGCAAAAGAAAGAAACTTATATCGAAGTTCGTTGTGATGACTGCGAAGAACCCTCCTCCCCATCCAGAGCATCGCGTTTCCTTTTACGGTGGTTCGTAACCAATTCTGTCGATTTAATGTTGACCGATTTCTCCTGAAGCCAGTCGGAAAACATTTTGTGAGTTTTACTTCCTGCTTCGTACAACATACGTTCCAAATGTTCCAGCTTCTTATTGTCCATTAAATTTTCGCTGCTGACATTATTGCACATGTCTTTGATTCCTTTCACGCGTTCTTGAGCAGTATCGAATAGCATCTCCGCTAGGTCATCTCCGGTGTCGAATTTACACAGATGCATGCCTAATTCGTAGTAAAATTTATTCAGTTTGCCCAGCTCAACGTAGCTAGCGTCCGCTTTGTAAATTTCTTTATATGCCGCAGTAAAAATTTCCGGAACTATCAATCTAAAAACGGAGAGAGAATTTGCAAATTATTGATATTCACTTTGATAGGAAACCGTAGCTCAACTCACGCAAAATTTGGACTTCGCTCATCCTGCTGCAGCAGATACCAGAGAGGAAGTTCGAGTTGTTGGTTAGGCTCTAAGTGATCGGACTTTTCAGAGGAATCCAAGAATCCTACAATTTACAAGTTTAAATTACTGTCTGGATAATGCTTGAGTACCTACCCATTTGATAGAGATTATGCAGCGCCCGACATGGAATTCGTTCCTGGGTTACCATCACGTCATCAAGGGAATAGTAATTTGGATAGTAACTGGGTTTATTCATGACCTGATTCGTTTGTAGCAACTCGTGTAGCAATATATAAATAATTAAGTTGTTTTAAAAGCTTTGATCAGAATATTTTGATGTTTCGATGATGTTTGTTTACAACTAACACGCTTCTTGCTTGTAATCGAAACGCACGTTCTATTTTACTCAAAATCTAGTAATTTCTACTCAGTTTCGTAATTTAAAAAAAAAACTGTGCACTCAAAAATATTACAAAACGAATATAGATTAAATTTTATGCATTTTATGGTTTTTCAAAATTTATACATTGGTTCGATTAAAATTTTCGTCAAAATTATACTAAGTCCGAATAACGGAGTGGAATTCGATCAGTGTTTACTAAAATGACAGGAAAAATAACATTTGGATTCTCTTCGCAGCTTCGCGCTTGTGAAGAGCTTTGTTCCGGCGGATTTCAACTGCGCCTGTGATCTGCTGGGCAGGACTGCGTGAGCTCGTGAGCACGAGTTCATCTTAATAAACATCGAAATGGTAAGTATTTTTTAAATAATATTCATAAAAAATAAAATAATTAAAAAACCTTCCTGAGAAATTTTTTATTTCTATTTGAAAACAATAATATTTACCATAAATAAAATAAAGAAGCGAAAAAGACATTCTCTCGATTAAACCGTATCTATACATTGTAAGTATATTTCGATTTTATACTATGGCACGCATAAACCATTTTTATACTAAGTTTGCATTCTCTCCATTTATACCGACCTTTGCGTCGGTACGGAGAGTTGCGATTTAGCGTAACTTTTATACTATTAAGATTTCAATATTTTTTGAGTGCGGTGTAACTACACCGCAAAAACGAAAACGACATCAGAGGGAGTATTTCTAGCTGAAACCATTGTATCCCAGGTTAATAACATGTATAGATTTCTAAAATATTGTAATTCATGAGGTCTAAAAGTGAAGTTTAACAAACATTAAAACTAGTTCCCAGCTAGTACGAGTCAATTACGATGGATGCAAGGAAAAATAAAAGATCATCTAATAATAAGGTAGGTAGAGAAAATGGCTCTAATGTTGGTCTATGGATAAAAAGAATGGACCCATCGAAAAAAATCTCCAGTTTTTTTTTTTCTCAGAACAATGCATCATTTGGAAAACACAAATTGATATTTTTAGTAGCTGGTAAAAAAATTTGCAAAACAATGCTTTCCTTCGAAATTTATACATGGGCACTTATAGCGTATTCGTTTTTTATCATTCTATTATTATTATTTTAACCAGTTCCAACCCAGTGCGAACCTCAATATACACGGAGAAACGAAACAACTCAAAATTCTCGCGTCAATTTTCAAATAGACCAACCCGCATAAACGCGAACCATAAATTCTAGAGTAACATTTGAAATGGGCCTATGTCCAAAACGTAAACAAACCAGAAAATGAATTTTAAATGTTGACCGCCATTATTCAATTCATATTTAAGAAGATTGAAGTATTTTAGGCATTTATATTGTTCGCAATAACAATAGTAACTGTATCTCAGTATACAACATCCAAAATATGCGAAAAGCTTTCAAAATTATATGAAAATCGATAACAATATAATTTCATAAATTAATAAGCCTTTTTTGTGATCTTTCAATGGATAGGCCCTTTTTGTTAAGCCGTTGTGCTTGTCATCATAAATGGTAGGCCCTTTGCTAAGCCTTTTCGCAACGTCAAATAAATTCAAAACAAATCATCGGCCCTGCCTCAAGCAGTAGGGCCTAGCTTTGGTTTGAAATTTTTCAATCATCGGCCCTTCTACGTCACTAGGCTTATCAATGAAATGAAATAAATGAATGGTTGGCCGTTTTAGCGTGCGGGCCTATTAATGAATCGAAAAATTTCGTTGATCGGCCGTTTCGAAAATCGAGTTATTTTTAATGATTTTTCTCGATTATGCGGAACTGTCCTACACGATTAGTAGCTATCAAGCAGTGCTAAGGAATGGTATCAAAACCCGATTTGTTTACGTTTTGGACATAGGCCCATTTCAAATGTTACTCGAGAATTGACCTTACCTAAAATGGTTAAACATTGTTTATAATCCCTGCTAAACTTTAACTGAAATGGTTATGGAACTTTACATGAACGTTTAATGATAAAGTTCCAACCTTATGTATTATGGTTTTTTGGAAGCGGACCTTACAAATAATGGGTTGTTAAGAACCATTACCATTCCAAATTCTTGTTTTCTCCATACATTTTCGGAAAGAGAACTATATTAGAACCTTTTAACTTATGGTTTGAGAACTTTAATGGTAATGGTTATGGTAGTCAGTAAGGTCCACGAATGGTTTTGTAACATCGATCAACTTTATGTGGAATATATCGCGAATTGGTTGCCTGTAATTTACTGATTACCAATTCACGATATATTCCACGTAAAGTTGAGCGATAATACAAAACCATTAATGGACCTTACTGACTACCATAACCATTACCATTAATGTTCTCAAATCATAAGTAAAAACGTTCTTATATAGTTCTCTTTCTGAAAATGTATGGAGAAAACAAGAATTTGGAATGGTAATGGTTCTTAACAACCCATTATTTGTAAGGCCCAGTTCCAAAAAACCATAATACATAAGGTTGAAACTTTATCATTGAACGTTCATGTAAAGTTCCATAACCATTTCAGTTAAAGTTTAGCGGGGATTATAAACAATTTTTAACCATTTTAGGTAAGGTAAATTTATGGTTCGCGTTTATGCGGGAATGTAACATATCCACCATTTTAAGAAAATCGAAGTTGAAGTTCGACAGATTATTATTTTAACTGTTTAAAAACAATACATTTTGCAATACTATTTTTAATGTAGCCAGTGTATAACGTTGAAAATTCAGAAGAAACGGTAAAATCACAATTTACTTTGAATTTCATGCTACAACATAGAAAAAACCACATAGGACGTTTTGACAAGTCGAGTTGTACATCGGACATGTTACATTGGACGATTTTTCTCAATGACATAATCAATGAGTGTTACATTGGACGTTTTGTCTACATGATACTAGATTCCCTTTCACAGATTTCAAAGTATAGTACCAACAATCAATACGAAACTAACGATTTTAAATTGGCTCACCACTTTAGTAGCCTATTGGTCCCAAGCAAACGATTAACGTACCCTATTCTAGTTGAAATTCTATTACTACACTATGTTTGTTTTGATTCGCTATGAAAGTTTGACAGATAACATCAGGGGTGTGTGGATTCATGCAGGGGTGAGTGAAATAGCTTGGGACTGCTTGGGACCGTTGTTCTGGTACTGAGTGAGCCAAAAATAATAATGATTTTCTTCGGGACCCAGTGGTCTTAGAGTTACCTTTATGATAGTACCTAACTTTAGATTGGCCCCGCCTTTGGAAAATGAGCACCAATAATGTTAGGCAGTCCGAATGACCGAAGTAACAATCATGTATCCATTATTTCAAACTGTACATTGGACAATTTTTGATCAATGATTATCTTAAATAAATGAAAGTAAATTCGGATGGATGTTTTTGTATCACATACAATGACAGAAGAGCAATAGTTTGTATCGCTTAACTCGATTTGTTTACATTTGTTACATTGGTCTATTTGAAAAGTGACGCGAGAATTAAGTCTTTTGTACTCATCTTGACACCTAACTGCAACCAGACAAAATTGAGTTCTTTGCGAAGTATTCAATTTTTACGCTGAGGTAAAAAATCCAGCGAGATTCATCGTTTTGCCTTATGTTTATTTGCCACAAGAAATCGGTAAGCATTTCATTAGTTTGCCTTATGAATTTAACTGAATTTCATCAAACAGATATCATACCTTTTTCATAAGGCAGCATTATGAAAATTTACAATCAGCTTTATAGAATTCGATCCATCGCAAATATGGAACCCGTTATTTATTATAATAAAATGCATTATTCCCCATTTAGCTTTTCATTGAAAGTAATTTATAAATTTTATTCTGGCCATTTCTATAAATTCTTGATACATGTTAAAACATGTTTGTGACGATGACAAATGCTAATCGTTTACAGGCCAAACCCTCTTCAGACGGACCTCCTCCTCTGTGACTGGATAACCGCCAATGTTATTTGCTGTGAGGGAATGACTGAAATATTTTTCAGGTTCAAAATATGCATCCGGCCTTGCTTCCGCCTGTCTGTCTTCCAAGGCACAGTCTCCAGAATATGAAACCGCTTGTGCCGATAGCTCGTTATTTATAATTGTGAGATTAACCAGACCCTGAAATATATTAAATAAAAAATCTAATTTTGATTAATTAGGATAGCTTATTAATACTATTATAGAATACTTACGTTCCTTTTACGCCAATCTTCTATCGAGAACCATAATTGATCGATTTCGAGCGTCGGATCAGGGCCAGCCCTGATGGCTGCACTCAACTCGCTCTCACTATACGTCAATAAATGAACGGTTTTGATTCCAGCACCTGCAATTAAATTTTAATTTGCAATAAGTAAATTGTTTATTTATTTTATTAAACATTACCTTTAAAAATATCCAAGCAAATTGCGGGTGCTTCTGCAAGAAAATCTGCGATCAACCTTAATTCGTCCAACACAATGTTCGCCCTCGTGTTCGCCATACTTTTTTTTTCATAAGATTAATTTTATGATTTTTTCGCACCGGTTACAGGAAAGAAAATCATAATGCGCCCCAATGAAAATTATATGTATTTCATAAAGATTTCTTCCTTTTCACTCATAAAAGTCATTCAAACCATATGAAACCCATAACAGGCTTATGGAATCATGTTTTAGGAAAAAATTAAGGCATCATAAGGCAAATTTTATTAATTTCGCCAGTCAACTTGCCTGAGTGTAGTATTTTGCGAAGACTTCATTTTGAATCAAATGTAAGTGTTTCGTTAAGAGTGAATATTGGGTAATAAATATTTAAAACCAGGTTCTTATTTTTAAAATTTATTTCTAAAAAATGTTTTAATTGATTTTCTTCCAAATAATTTATGATAATTGAGCATTAGATAAACAATACAGTAGTTTTATTTATTCTAAAGTGGTGCACAGGTAAACATTTTTATAAACAAGGAGAGGTTACAATTTTTTAGCTGGTTGTGGTCAGTTTCTAGCTATGCAACGATTTCCGGGTCATTGCCAGAGGAGATCCGGCACGTTGAATTAACCGGGGGATTATCGCTGGGGGTAAGTTCGAAGCGAACTCCTTGGTTCCACTCTCGGCTGCCAAGACTTCAGGTTGTTTACTTAGATGTATCACACTGAAATTAGGTAGGTAGGAGAAAAAGAGACAAAAACCAATCAACTCGCAAAGCAGAGTCAAAAAACTAAAAGCTTTACCCTCACTTTCCCACTGCTCTCAGATACTGGGTTAATGGTGCACTTCACTAAAGACAGATCATCAGCAGGTGGAGGCCATTGCGCTCGTAATGGCCTGTATTGTCTGAGGTCTTGTCCGACTTAATAATGAAAGGATGACGAATGACACTCCCCAGATATTTTTGGTCTGTATGGAGATCTAGAATAGAACTATAGTTTAGTTTATGACCTTCATTACTGTACCTAATACTTAATTCCGTACTAATTTAACATGTTTTCACTTAAATAGCTGCAGCTTTTGGTAAACGACAAAGCTGAAATTAACATGGCGCACATTACGATTTTTCATCCAAATATTTAGATAAAAAGTCCGCAAATAAAGAACTCTCTCAAGATTACTGTTTGAGTATAATTAACGAAAAGTAAGTGATCGGGTTATACTACGAGATTAAGTTTAAAGTACTCATAAATGAGAACAAAATTTCACTCAAAACAGTACACAGCAAAAAAAAATGTAATATCGATCAACGTAATTCAAGCTGATGTATGAAATAATGATGTAATAGCAAAAAGCAGATACAATATTACATCAATGGATGTAATTTTGTTCGCCAAATCGATGTACATCGTACAATGTGATATTACACAACCGATGGATTGACCTGGTTGCATCATTTTCGATGTAATATTCAACAACTTTTTTTGCTGTGTAGTGTTGGTGGACTACTTATTTATAAGTACTTTTTATCTAAATTTTGAGTTGTTTCGTCTTTCCGTGTAAGTTTGACAGATCTGGGTGGATTCCATTGGCGTTGACGGCACCGTCGAAAAATTTTCTCTTTCAGCAAATATAGACAGTTTCTTATGAGAATTTTCAGTGGAGTGAAAGGATAGTACAAAGTCCGCCATGTTTCACGCACAGTCTGACGTTTGCTTATGGATTTTCTCATAGGAGTAAAGAGCTACAGAGTCGCCGTCAACGCCAATACCCAAATTTATTAGTTTTGAAATAGCGTGTGCACTGCTGTCAAATAATAAAAAAAAAAAATCCTTGTGTTTTTTGCATTTCCAAAATATAAATCTTAAAATTTTCTGAGATTTCCCATTTACTTAGTAAAATATTGTACTGTATTTAATTATGTCAAAACAGTGAGTATTAATTACGGTTGTTGAACCGTTCACGGCCACCAATAATAATGATAATATTGTTTGTTGTTGAATAGGTACGGCTTGATTGATCCTAAAGCGAACAAAACGAAAATTACGAAGCATGCGGCTTTTGAGAGTGATTCGGATTCCGAATCATCGGATCCAAAAAAATCTGTCAACTTAGAGCTTGGAGAAAGCCAGAAGCGTCAAGTAAAAGCGGTACAAGCCAAAGTGCTGGCCGAAGATCCCACTATATATCAGTATGATGAATTGTATGACGATATGGATAACAAGCGAAAGGAATCGAAAGCTGACAAATCTAAAGAAGAGCGAAAACCAAAGTATATCGGCAAGTTACTGGAAACGGCTGACAAACGCAAGAAGGAGCAGGAAAGACGTATTGAACGGCAGGTTCAAAAAGAAAGAGAAGAAGAGGGTGAAATGTACAAAGATAAGGAATCGTTTGTAACTTCCGCCTACAGAGCAAAGTTAGAAGAGATGAAAAAAGCTGAAGAGGATGAAAAGCGGGAGGAATATTTGGAGAATATTGGTGACGTTACAAAACAGAGTGATCTAGGAGGGTTCTATAGACACATTTATTCGCAGAAAATGAGAGAAGGTAGCAACCAGAAGCAGATAGTAAACGAAAATGCTGCTAGAGAACAAGGAAATTCCAGTGCTTCGGATGAAGAGTCAAAACAAGAAGACCGAAAACGTAAGGATGATAGTGAATCCGACGAGGAAGAACGCGCAAGGTTAGAAGCACTGAAGAGCAAAGAAGCCGGACAGTCTAAGGGACGAAGATATCGCAAACGACGTTCCGATGATGAAGAAAATGACGAAAATGAAAAGAATGATTCCTCTAAAAAGGTGCATCTCCAGTCGAATTTGGATGCTGATTCAGACTTCAGTATTGATTCAAACAGCAGCAGCGAAAGTGATTCAGAGCATGATAACGATAAGAAGCGTAAGCACAGAAAAAAGTCCATTGAAGAATCGCCTGAGAAAAAGGTAAAAACGGAAGATCACAAGGGCCCAACCAATGGAGTTGACAACGTAGAAAAGTCAACCCAAGCAAATGGAAAAGAGATTACTAAGGTAGAGGATAATCGAAGCATGAAAGAAACAAAGAAGAAGGAACCCAAAATCGATATATGGAAAAAGCGGACCGTTGGCGGAGTATTTGATGCTGCTTTACATAAATATTACGAACGGAAGGCAACACGAGAATCTGGTTGATTTCTTTATTCTTAAGTGTGTATTTGAAGATTGGGGAGCATAAGTACGTCATGCAGAATTCAGAAAAAAATCAACCCCCTCCCCCATGTTATATACTTTCTGCATTGCTTGTCACATTTGTAACCTCTCCCCTTCTCTGTTCTTAAACCGTGACGTACTTCATGTATCTCCTCTTATGGTAATTAAAATTTGTCGATATTAAGGAAAAATCCATGTGTTCCACATCCTGATGACAGTCGTGCCCAGCGTGTACATGTGTAATACACAGAATTTAAGTGAATTGTTTTAAACTTTTCTGAAGGTCACAAGAATTTTTTGAAGTCCACAGATGTAATTATTCCAAAGACCTTCAATTCATCAAAAACCTGCATAATGTTCTCTGGGTATTTTGGCAATTCTTCTGGTTGATAGTTTTTTGTATGGAAAATACGGTTCGAACGAAAACAAGAATATGGGTGATTATTCTGAAGAATAATAATAATAATCTGCAGGGTAACCACCCATGAGCATGATTGACCGCCCACGGTTGATACTCTGCTATTGCCAGACCAGGTGTAATTATACAGAGAACCAATAGACGATGCTTGGGACTAGCAATCATCCTCAAGGTGTAAAAACTGGTGATCTCGAATTAGGCAATACCAGCGCCAGCCGCGCCTGAACGCAGGTCAAGAAAGGAATGGGTAGGAATTTGTTGACGTGACACTCGTTTTTATGGAAGCCGAGGAGTCCTCTGCACTTCCACGAGGAATCACAGGGATGTTGGGTTAGCAGCAGGGTTCGTTTTGGTAAACGATAAGCTGAATTGATGTCCTAACGATCGTATAACCCGAAGGAGCTTGGGATTGAACCCACGGTCTTCTGCTCAGTAAGCAAAAACGTTTGCCACTAGGCAGACGAGCTCCTTTTTAATCATTGACGAATCTTGAATGTGGATGGGCTTGAGATTAGACTCATGATGTTCTGCTCAGTAAGCAAAAACGATTGCTCTAAGGCCACCGAGCCTCTCATATCACATTATAGCGTTACTCAAGTTTTTATAACTATTCAAACCCGGCACCGACGACAACGAAAAGTTTTACAAAATACACGATAAACAAGCGATATTTTAATATTTTCAATATGAAAGGATCTGGGACCGCGTTTTTCTCCTCAGTAAGCAAGCCACTGCAACCGACGATCTTTGAAATCCTAAAACTAAAAGCTACGAAAGAGTACTTAGGCCTTCATTAAGATCCACTTTCACACGACGTTCAATGTTTCGATTTTCTCTTTACGCATGGTTCAGACAATCATAACAAGCTTTGACCGACGTGACGATTGTTTAAGACCTGGTTAAACAAGCTATTCAAATGAAATTACGTTCTCGAATTTCACTTGGAATGTAATGAACAACAGAAATACGCGATAATTCATATTTTCAGCGGTTGATGTTTAATTTTAAATATACTAACGGTACACAGCAAAAAAAAATGTAATATCGATCAACGTAATTCAAGCTGATGTATGAAATAATGATGTAATAGCAAAAAGCAGATACAATATTACATTAATGGATGTAATTTTGTTCGCAAAATCGATGTACATCGTACAATGTGATATTACACAACAGATGGATTGACCTGGTTGCAGTAGTTTCGATGTAATATTCAACAACTTTTTTTGCTGTGTACTGCCTACGACTACGACGGCGATTACGACAGTGACTACGACGGCACCTTCGACAACGACAACAGAGAATTTGTAGCTTACCATTTGTCTAGGATAAACACCTTTGCCTGGCACCTCCACTGGTTCTTCATGTCCGCTATCTGTCACTGTTTGCAAAATATCTAATAGCAATTACCTTTGTTGTGATACTTCCTGTATTGCCATGGTGATCTGGGAGGAGGTTCGCATCTAGTGCTTTCCCCAGGAACCGTTCACGGCCACCAGCTACCGCCCGTCCAGTCTTGGGCATATCCAGCGAGACATCCTTCAGCTAACTCACAATCTCCGTCACTCAATGCAAATCGCAGGCACACTTACGCTAGTTACAAAAAAAAAACACCCGTGCAAAGAAACGTATCAAATAAACGTCACTCTTGCGAAAGCACACCCGTCGTCGTCGAACGGCAAAAAAAAAGGAACCGGTGGGCGATTTTGTGATACGGATTTCCAAAATCAAACGGGAATCTAATCTGCAGGGTAAAGACCCAACCGGAAAACCGGGATAACCGAAAATAACCGGGAAATAGCCAGAAAAATTATTTCAATCTTTAAATATTTTGGTACATATTTTGGTTGAGTTCTGTTAATGTGTTCTGTTAATCTGTTTTCTGTACTGTATTTTATCAACTGATGGTCTTTGAAATAATTCCTGATCATCCGATTTTCTTGCAAGAATATCTAACAGCATTTTGGTGGGCGTTGGCCAGATTTGGATTTTTCAGATATAATCCTACATAGGACCTAGATTACTTAATACTCTAGTAAACTTAAGTCCGTGCTCTGCACAGCAAAAAAAAATTGAATTTTACATCGAAACTGCTGCAACCAGGTCAATCCATCGGTTGTGTAATATCACATTGTACGATGTACATCGATTTTGCGAACAAAATTACATCCATTGATGTAAAATTGTATCTGCTTTTTGCTATTACATCATTATTTCATACATCAGCTTGAATTACGTTGATCGATGTTACATTTTTTATGTGTGTCACAAGGTTTCATTGTGATTAATCAACACTCAAAGGGGTAAAATAACAAATTTGGGGTGAATTTGAAAGAAGGGAATTTGGAGTGTAGAGCGCACTGCCCACTGGTCGATTCTGAAACCTGGCCAAGTGAGTGGGGAACGTCTTTTCCAATTTATATATTGATACATTCAAACCATTGGCAGTTGGTTTTTTAGATAAGACATATAGGATGCAGAGGGGAAGCTTAGAGCAACCGTAACGGTCGTTGTCATTTGCGCGACTATTTTAACAGCGCACAGCGCTCTCATTTTAGTTTAGTCACTCTTCTCCACACCGGTCGCTGCTATCGTGGTTATCAATTTACTCACCTTTGTCCGTACCGGTAGTGAGCATTTTGACATTTCTACGAATAGCAACCTTTCTCCCGCGCTGCTAAATTTGGTAGCGCGCTTCTCACCGAGAAGCAGACTGCTATTTTAGTTACTCGTATGGCAACCCCCGATACGGTAGCTGCGCTATGATGAGGGCTGCTAAAATGAGTTTAGCAGCGTACCGTTACGGTTGCTCTAAAGCAACTGACAACTAGCCTTTTCATGTATTGTCTGTTTATTTTGATTATTGCTTTAAAATATCAATTTGGTATATATGTGAAAGGATGAATCAGTGGGAGATGGATTTTCGGTTTCAATACATTTAGCATCACTATGTGCCATTTCCTTAAAACCCCCCAAAACCGGCCTTTTCAATCCCTTCCTTTTCCCATGGCGTTCAAGTGGTCCGCATAGACTATTCAGCCATTACCCGTCCTTTATCCTCGGCTTTGGATTGACTTGCGCTCCCATTGCCCCACCAAACGCTGTAAAATGAAAATGAAAATGAAATTTTTGTTATGGTCAGATTTACGGTATCAACTTGTTGAAATTGTTGAAACAACGCCCATTTTTTTTACTTATGGCAGGAATAAGCACTAACCGACGGTGATAAGTCTGTGACAGCCCTTGACAATTTCATTGATTGTTTGCAAAATTGTTTAATTTCAATGTAATTTCATGCAAATTTCTTGTCAGCATGGATGAACCTTGTACAAAATACATAAAATTATTTTGTGATGCATTGTTCCTAAATAAAAAGCTACTTCAAGACAGTTAAATTACAGAAAACATGTTAAGGTTTGAAATCATCTGCCGATTAAACAACAAAGTTGGCCGACTAAATCCATCGACGAAAAACTATTAAATAGGCCGATTGCTCGGTGTAGCACCAGACGAAAGTGTTCAAGCTGCCAACATAGGCTAGTCCTTCGTGCCTCTTGCCGTGCGGATCTATTTGCTTTTTGCTTACGGAAGTGTTACTACTACCTAAAGCTACAACAAATTTAAACAGCACTTTTCAGTGCTCAACCTGAAAAAAAAAATTCTACCTTGTTCAACTCTTATTCCTCTTCGATCCTTGTTTGGACCCTACCCGAGGTAATCCTTCTTGGATATCGATTTGGAAAATTCTTCTTCGATCCTTCAGATTCTTATAGTAATCTGCTTGGAAGTCGATTTGGATAAAAATTTACTGCCGTCATGGCGCCTAAACGCAAAAGAAAGGGGCAAACTCTTGACCCCCCTTCTGATGAAATTAATTTGAGTAATCAATTTGATTTGCTCACGGATGATGAGAATGATCCATCATCCAAGAAAAATTCTAGTAAACTTTCCCGGCTTAATGCCAAGAAGGAAAAGATTCCCCCTATTGTGATAACCACTTCCGATTTCCATGCTCTTCGCATGGAACTTTTGAATTTCGTGAAAGTTAAGTTTTCACTACAAATTGGACGTCGGGGTGAATGCCGTGTATTGGCTGAAACCTTGGACGGATTTATAGTACGTTCAGACTACAGAGTTATAACATGTTATAGCGCTATCTTGATGGTGGTTTCTGTGTTGCAATTATTTGACAACCGTTATAACATGTTATAACCATAGAGGTAACTCTAAGACCACTGGGTCCCGAAGAAAATCATTATTATTTTTGGCTCACTCAGTACCAGAACAACGGTCCCAAGCAGTCCCAAGCTATTTCACTCACCCCTGCATGTTCTGCATGAATCCACACACCCTTGATGTTATCTGTCAAACTTTCATGGCGAATCAAAACAAACATAGTGTAGTAATAGAATTTCAACTAGAATAGGGTACGTTAATCGTTTGCTTGGGACGAATAGGCTACTAAAGTGGTGAGCCAATTTAAAATCGTTAGTTTCGTATTGATTGTTGTTATAACTCTCCAGTCTGGACAGCGTTTTAAATGTCTTCTCAAGTATCTTACTGAGAAGAAGCACAAATTTTTTACTTACGACACCAAAACTGAACGTGTGTTCAAGGTTGTCATGAAAGGACTGCCCAGTGGTGAATCCCTGGATCAGATCAAAGATGAACTGGCAAAATTACTCCAAACTACTCCAAGTAATCAAAATGAAAATGAAATCCCGTCCTGGCGATTCGCGCAACGGGATTTCTAATTATTTTTATTTAGTTCACTTCAAGTCTAGTGAACTAAACAACCTTAAGGCCTTAGAAAAAGCTAGCCTTATGCTCCATGTCCGAGTGAAGTGCGAACACTTCAGGAAGACTGGAGGAAATTTCCAAAACCTCACTCAGTGCCGTACACGCAGAAAAAAATATTTTAAAAGTAATAATATTTGACGTAAAATCAATAAGAAATTCATTTTGTTTTGGCTGCAAAAAGAAATCATTATTGTTTCAACAATCCAGTATTTTTGTTTCTAAAAACCCATGGATCTTTTAGAATTTACAAGAGCTTTCATGATTTTGACGTAAGCTGTAAAATTTGGCAGCTGGGTTAACAACAAAAATATGTTTGTTTTTAAAAGAGATTTCTTGTTGATTCAATCTGAAAATTCACGCAGTAGAAATAAAAATGTGTTTATTTATGTAAAAATAATATGGCAATTTTTTTTATGTTTCGTTTTCATTTTGAAACAAAATTGCAGAAATTGTAATTGAATTTCTGCCCCCGGTTCATGAGTTGATGGGTCGATATGTAGGGTCCAGATGTGGGAGCTGCCTTCCTGGCGTTGGGAGCATTGGTACTCAGTACGGAAAACAAGATCGACGGAAAAAAAATAAAGGAAAAAAAAACAGAAAAATTGATTATATTTATTACCTGCAGCTCGAATTGCAGCATACTTACTTAACTCAAGTCTCAAGATTTTCGAAAATCTTGCACTTATTTCCCGAAATTTACAATTAAAAACAATACTTACGTGGAACGCGTAAGTATTGTTATTGTTTACATTTTTGTCCGGGTGAAAACGAGGGAATGGTTGGTAGTTATTTTTGCTTTAATGGCCCAGAGAATGGACACAGCAAATAAATGCTAAATTAAAATTAACTATTGTTGGCTTAATAATAGAATATTGTTATTTTTACAATAGTTGCATTTGAAAAGTGGCTGATTAAAACAAAAAGAATCCTATTTTGAATTTATATGAATAAGTATTATTGAAACAACAAAAAGCAATATAATTTCAACTGGAATTGTTTGCTTAAATACAATTAAAGATTTTTTTGGTTCAATGCAAACAATTTTCTGTCCGTGTAAGTGCCAGGGATGGGGTCACGGAACTAAAAATTGCTACATGCCAGCTAAATGCATGAATTGTGGTGATTCCTCTCACGCAAAGGACGACTGTCCTGTGAAGGAAGATCCTAAGAAATTTAAATGTTCAAATTGTGGTGAAAACCACAAATCCAATTTTTGGGAATGTAAGACTCGCAAAGCGATCCATACAATCTCGTTCTAACCGTCAGGTAGGAAACGCTCCACGTTTCCGACCAGGTACAAATTCCTCTGCTGTTAACAACGGTCAGCGAGGAACAAATTCTACATTCGTACCCGTAGGTACAAATATCACCCCTGCTTCAAATGTTACATCTGTACCTACTCCCCTCGCTGCTAACAATGTTCAGCGAGTTAATGGAGCTACCTATGCTGCTATTGCAGCGGGTAGAAATCAAAATACTAGCCAACGTTCTAACGGAAATTTTGACAATTTCGACTTAGGAAGCATTACATTACAGAATTCATTAATTGAAATGATTTCTGATATGCTTAAATCTAACTCCATGTTTGATGCTATTCAAACTGGAGTAAAATTTGCTAATAATATTGTAATGGATTTTAAAGCTTTAAACATTTTAAATTGGAATGCTCGATCTCTTAAAGATAATGAAGACGAGCTATTTAACTTTTTGAGTGTTCATAACGTGCATATTGCCGTTATAACTGAAACGTTCCTTAAACCTGACCATAAGGTAAAGAAGGACTCAAATTATTTAATTTATAGAAATGATCGTCTTGATGGACCCTGTGGTGGCGTTGCCATCATTGTTCATAGACGAATCAAACATACAATTCTTTCTTCATTTGAAACCAAAGTTTTTGAAATTTTGGGAGTTTCTGTTGAAACAAAATTTGGACAACTTACGTTTATAGCTGCCTATTTGCCATTCCAATGCGTAGGCCAGCAAAAGAATTTTCTCAAGGGTGACCTCCAGAAACTTAGCCGTCATTGGTCTAAATTCTTCATTATTGGTGATTTTAATGCAAAACACCGCTCATGGAATAATGCTCAAAGCAATTCCAATGGTAATATTATGTTTGATGATTGTTCTGCAGGTTATTACACTATTCAATATCCAAACAGTCTAACATGCTTTTCTTCTGCAAGAAATCCCTCAACTATTGATTTGGTCTTAACTGATTCATGTCAACTTTGTAGCCAATTGGTTACTCATGCTGACTTCGGTTCTGATCACCTTCCAGTAACTTTTGAAGTATCCCAAGAAATAATTTGTAATCCCAACAGCTCTATTTTCAATTACCATAGAGCTGATTGGGAGCAATATCGAACATTTATGGAATATAACTTCGATCCAAACATTCCTTTGCAAACCAAACATGAAATTAATTATGCTCTTGAATCTCTGACTACTTCTATAGTTGAAGCAAGAGCTACCTCAGTACCAAAATGCGAGGTTAAATTCGATTCAATTATAATAGACGACGATCTTCAGCTCTTGATCCGTCTTAAAAATGCCCGTAGGAGACAATATCAAAGAACACGTGATCCTGCCATGAAAGTTATCTGGCGGGATTTACAAAAACAAATTAAAAAACGATTCTCTGCCCTGAGGAACAAAACTTTTGAAAATATTTTTTCTAAATTAGACCCGAGTTCCAAACCCTTTTGGAAACTCACAAAAATTTTGAAAAAACCTCAAAAGCCTATTCCAGCGCTTAAGGGGAAGCAGACCGCTCCGAAAAAAAAATTACGTTTTAATTTTTCTAAAAATATTGAAAAAAAGTATCAAAAATCTAAAACAATCACATTTTTTCTAATTTTTTAAAGAAAATTCACGTGCAAAAACATGTTTTATAAGTCATTATGGAATAAAGTTGGACTCAAAAAACCACAAAACATCAACTTTTCGGTTTTTCTGAGAGTCCAATTTTTTTTCATGATGGTATAGAAAAAATTTTTTGCATGTAATTTTTGACAAAAATCTAAGGAAGAAACTGATTTTCTTGGATTTTTGATAATTTTTCCCAATATTTTTAGAAAAATAAAAACGTACCGAAAATATTTTCGGTACCCCTTAAAGAAGGTGGTAAAATTTTGATCACAGATTTGGAAAAATCTCAGAAACTTGCTAAGCAATTCGAGAGTTCCCATAGTTTCAGTTTGGGTCTTACTAGTCCTATTGAGAATCAGGTTGCTCGGGATTATCTGAATATTTTCACTTGGGAAAATATTTTTGATGATTCCTGGGGGACTGATTTGGACGAAGTAAGGTCTATAACTAAAAAGTTTCAAAATATGAAAGCTCCAGGTGATGATGGAATTTTCTATATCCTCATCAAAAAACTCCCAGAGAGTACCTTGTCTCTCTTGGTAAAATTATTTAACAGATGTTTGCATACTTTCCTGATAAATGGAAAAATGCAAAAGTTGTTCCAATTTTGAAGCCGGATAAAAATCCAGCTGAAGCTTCTAGCTACCGTCCAATAAGTTTGCTTTCTTCAATAAGTAAACTTTTTGAAAAGATAATTTTAAATAGAATGATGCTTCACATCAATACGAACTCAATTTTTGCAGATGAGCAGTTTGGATTTCGCCATGGGCATTCAACTACTCATCAACTCTTAAGAGTTACCAATTTAATTCGTTCAAACAAATCGGAAGGCCACTCAACTGGAGTTGCTCTTCTAGACATAGAAAAAGCATTCGACAGTGTTTGGCATGAAGGTTTGATTGCTAACTAAGTTTAATTTTCCACTTTATATTATGAAATTAGTTCAAAATTATTTAACTGACAGAACTCTGCAGGTAAATTATCAAAATTCCAAATCTAATCGACTACCTGTTAGAGCAGGTGTTCCTCAGGGTAGCATTCTTGGGCCTATATTGTATAACATTTTCACTTCGGACCTCCCTGATTTGCCTCAGGGTTGCCAAAAATCTTTGTTCGCTGATGACACAGGCATTTCCGCTAAAGGAAGAAGTCTTCGTGTTATTTGCAGCAGACTCCAGAAAAGTTTAGATATTTTCTCTTCTTATTTACAAAAATGGATGATTTCTTCCAACGCTTCCAAAACTCAACTTATATAATATTTCCACATAAGCCTAGAGCTTCGTTTTTGAAACCTAGTAGTAGTCACATAGTCACTATGAGCGGAGTTCCAATTTCCTGGTCAAACAAAGTGAAATATTTTGGATTAATACTTGACCAAAAATTAACTTTTAAAGATCACATTGAGGGCATTCAAGCCAAATGTAACAAATATATAAAATGTTTGTATCCCCTTATAAACAGGAAATCCAAACTTTGCCTGACGAATAAACTTCTAATATTTAAACAAGTTTTTAGACCGGCCATGCTTTACGCTGTGCCAATATGGTCTAGTTGTTGCACTACCAGGGAAAAAGCACTTCAAAGGATTCAGAACAAAGTTCTGAAGATGATTTTGAAGTTGCCTCCCTGGTTCAGTACTACCAAACAGGGATTGTTTTTGCAGCTGAGTTATTGACGAAAGAGAAAGTCGATGAAGAGAATCGATCAAAGTTGTTAGGACATTTTGAATTGTTCGTCTAGAATAGCTTTTCATCGATGGCCGTGGAGATGCAAAGAGAAAGTCGACGAAGAAAATCTATAAATGCTTGATAGAACTATTAAATTTTGAAATGTTCATCTAGTCATATTATCCAATGTGAAGGTAAGGTTCGATATTCCATTTTATTGATCAATCTAAAAGGGTTCGGACCGCAAGGGAACATGGAATCGTAACAATTTCATTTTATTTACAGTGTGTTGCGGAATTCCAGCTTAGTTTTAGTCAGGATACCGTCATCACCACATTCTTCGTTGTAGCCTTTGCGGTACTTCATGCCCGGAGCCTCAGACCACAGCTCGTACCAATCCTTGAAGTCCTCTGGAGTAACGATCAACTCGGGCACGTCGTAACGTGGAACATTGAAGTAATTCATCAAGTCCGGCTTGTTCATGTAGCGGGCCCGTGCTTCAGTCCACTCTTCCTCATTCTCCATACGCCAGTCGCGCATATGCGTATCATCCTTGTCGAATCGATCAAAATCGATTCGTTCGATGTCTTCAACGACGACTTCAGTTTCACCGTGGTTTGACCAATCGTACACCAACAGTTCCGCATGGGTGCTGATATCCTTGAGATATTGTTGCTTGTAAATGTTCTCCATATCCTGCAGATACTTATCGGTGAGAACCTTAGAGCCGACTTCAGCTGGATTGGCTCGTTTCTTGACACGATCTTTTACAACATTAACAGGAACATCCAGATATATGACCAAATGTGGCTTCATCAGTTCGGAGAAGGTATTCTTGACCAAATCGTAATAAACCGAACGGGCACCCTTGGATATGTAGCCGTTTTTGAACATGGCTTCGACGAAAACAAAATCCGAATACACGCAACGGTCGAGCACGACTCCTTCCCCGGTCGAAAAGAGATGAGCCAGAGCATCGATATACTGCGAGTAACGTTGAATCAGCATACGGATTTGGAACGTGGCAACGTTCTTATGTGTTGGATTTTGCAGGAATTTGCTTACATCGAAGCTTTGCATATTCGGCGGCAACTGTGGATCCAGCTTGCGCAAATCGTACCCATATGAGTTGACGTAGTAATTATCCATTGTAACTTCTGGGAAGTACTTCATCTCCAATTCGGTTGCAAGCTCCTTTGCGAATGTCGACTTACCGGCCGCGATTGGACCATCCACAACAACGACCTACCATAAAAAAAACTTAATTTTTTAAAATAATTCATTCACAAATTTTTCGAAGGGACGAATCAGCTTTTGTAAACATTTCATTTGAAAGTCATTTGACGTAAATGGTAGCTCGTCCACGCCTAAGAGAGTTCACGCATGCTAACACTACCATCAGATAGGGGAAATTTTCTCTACCTGAAAGTGGTCCTAGTATGCGTGGGTGAGCTACCAGTTACGCCGAACCGACGATTGAATGCATTGTTTGCAAAAGCTGATACGTCCCTTCGAAAAAGTAATCGAGTATTGTTGATTGCTCCATTTAATGCAGTGTGATAGAAGTGCACGTTTCCGTCAAATCGTTTTGGTATCTTCGGAGTACTTATTGCTTGCATAAGAAATAAGTCCACCGAAGACAACAATACGATTAGAAGGAAACTTTTATCACACTTTTTAATAAGTGAAACCCCGCTTATAAGTCCAGTTTGGTGTGAAATTCGCAATACCTTGGTGTTTTCATCGAATCGATTGGTAGTGGTCTTGAAAAGGACATCCTTGCATGCTTGAAATGCGGTGTATTCCTTCTCGAGGTACGGGAACGGTTTCGGTTTGCTCAATTTCGACCCGCGCAGTGTTTTACCCGAGATGTTGCAAGCGGATATTACCATCGGCGAGGAAAGTTTTGAGTCAAGAATCGGATTCGTCGATGCCGATCGGTTTAGAAACCGAATTCCAATTCGGAATAAACCGGACATTTTCGATCTGTTGATAGGCAGAAGGCGAGAAGTTTTTGTTATGAAGAATCTTCACAATTACGTAAGAAAAATGTTTCACAAAATGGTACTAAAGCAGCTGATTAAATCATCATGAATTACGGTTTACTTTCGTTAAAAACTAAGGTTAATATTTGAAAACTAATACCCACCAGTGATTGCAACAACGATTAACGGGGCAAATGGCAGTAAAATTGTAAAGAAATTCCCCTCACGGCATCCGAGAAATTCGATGCTGAGATGTGAAAATTTCTGCCAAGCTGACAGATGCGTGTTTTCTTTCGATGCACTGAAAACGAAACTTCCATGCACTGTAACTGGTGCGTACCCATTAAAGGCCTGTATAGAGATCGAAGCGAAGCGAAAATCTCATACAAAATACTACATTTTTCACCTGCGTGAAAAACGCAATTGGCAAATATTCCGCTTCGCTTTGAACTGTAAACTGATACGATCCAGCGAAATCTTATTTTGTGGATCGTATCTTTTTCGCTTACGTTCATTTTTTTTCGTGCATGCAGCGCTAGCGAAAAGAGCAGCAGGTAAGCGAAAAGTTGACGTTTCGAGAAAGACCGTATCTGTCAGATTTTCACTTCACCGGAGGTGTAAACTGACCGATTTCGTTTCACACTGCGAAAAAAGGAAACTGGAAAATGTTCCACAAACATTTTTTCACAACCTTTTTCGCTAGCGAAATTTCATGATTTTTCGCGTGCTTCAATTTTCGTTTCGCTTCGATCTGTATACTAAGCTTAATGGGTGAAAAAGTACCCATTTTGTGGTAGTGTATGGAGCTGTCAAAAAATGCGTAAATGAAAATTTCAAATAATGGGTACTTTTTCACCCATTTCCGAAACCTGTTCAGGGATAAAAAATGAGTACATTTTTACCCTATATTGGGTGAAAAATATCTTTGTTGCTCGGTAACGTTGCTGGTACACACTTAGAAATTATTACCGTATTCGGTAATTTTTTACCGAACTTTCAACAGCTGAACGTTCGGTAATCAGTTCGGTAATCGAAACGATTACCGAACGATCGGTAAACAGATTTTTTGATGAGTTGTCAAAATTACCGAACAATTCGGTAATTATTTACCGAACTATTCAGTAATTTTTTACTGAAATGTCTCGTAAATGAAAATTTGTTGATTTTGTGTATTTTTTGTTTTTTCCGGTGAATTAAAATTTAAATCTCTTTTTGCATTATTATTAACGAGATTTTATTCAATAGTAAACATCTAGGTAAAAATATATTTTAAAATAACATATATTGCTCACTGGAGTATTTTTTTCACAGGTGGCTGCTTCCATGCGGATGCCAGTCCAGAAACATTGACTAGAACCTGATCCCAAAAGCACAGAATTCCTGGCTGTGTCTGAAGAGCAATCATAAAAATGAAATAAATGTAACTATCAATCTCATTAGGAATATTTAATAGATGCATTATTCATCTGTATTTGCGAACACACTTACATTGTTTTCACTGGATTTTCCGGTCACTTTCCATTGTTACTGTTTACTTTAACACTTGATATAAATATGACCGTCTTTCGATTGACAGCCCGAAATTATTTACTGAAGTTCGGTAAACGTTTCTGTAATTTGCAGTTTGTTCACACTCAGCAACATTTTCCTTGTTCGGTAATTTTTTACCGAAAATAATCGGTAAATGAAGAATATTACAGATTTTTCGGTAAATAAATTTTTTTTTTACCTACATTCGGTAATGTTTTACCGAAGTGACGGTAATCTGGCTTTTATATTGACGAACTTCGTTGAAAAGATTACAGTAAGAACTGTAAAACAAAGCAAACGCCGAATTCGGTTAAAAAATACCGAACAAACCGCCGCTGGTGCTCATCAACGACTTTCGACTTCACAAAATCAATCGTTACATCGTCCCCAACGCGACTGTCAAGCGCCGTAACTAGTCCGTCAAACGACGGCGGCAAACTACGCAACAGCAAGCAAATTTTCGTGCTGGCGTCTAACTCTGTACCAGCGGCGTCGAGACGGTCGAACAATTCCTCGATTTCCACTAGGTGCTGTTCGGCGTCACCTCCTTCCGACAAGTTTGACGCACAAAGCTTCTTCAGAATCGAAACGCGCACTGAACGGGACGATTTTTGATGATAATTTTTCAGCGCCGTATACACATCGTACGCTAGCACACAATTTTTCACAACCGGCAGCTGGCTGTCCTCCAGCAAGAGGATAATCGTCGCCTTTGCTTTCCGATCGCCCGTCTTCCACGCAGCGGTACGATCGGCTTCACCCGGGGGAGCATCCTCAACAACACTCCACAAATCTTCCCGGCAGAGCAAACTTTCGACTCGTATTTTCCATGAAGCCCAATTTGTTCCGTTAAGCTTCGGAATCGAGAATCTAGCGTCCGCCATCGTCAAAATCGATTTTCATTCACACACGGTTGAAAAAAAAAATGGCTCTCGCTCGGGTCTTTCGCGATCACTATCTCCACACTTCGCACGCGGCGGCAGCAGCACAAAAAAAATGGCGTCACTTCGGGTCAAAAACTTTTCACCAGATTTCTGTCCGATCCCGCTGGGCCCATAACCTGACGAAACCGACGGTAGAGTCAGGGCAACGAAGTGGAATATCAGCGGACGGATTCGGACCTGTTGTGGAAATAATGGAACTCGCGAGAAATCACTTTAACTACGTTTATTGATCGAGCGCAAAATACAATGCAACCGAACGCGGTAGCAGTTACTTTTGGAATGATAATGATATTCGTTGCCTTCTCTCTCGTAACCCGAGTGGGCCAAGATATATAGAGAGGAGTAGAGGTGGGTTGAAGTGGTAACTGTTGTATCGTTCCACAACTACACGGTGATAAAGAAGTGATACTCATAATAAGAGCCGTGATTGCCGTACAAATCAAATGGTAATCACTTCACCGTGACGACAAGTGACAAGTTTTCACCGTGAAGTGACATCCGTAATAAGCTCCCATATGTTATGGAATCACAACGACCAGCACCCGTCAGATAGTCAATCGTTTGGTTTCATCGTTGTTTTCATAAATTATTGCAATGATGTTCAATAAAAACCAAGTTCAGTAATCTGAAGTTTCTATTTTATTGATTGATTTTAAAATTATTGCTAATTCTCAAATTTCAGATTGAGTCCCATCAATATATTTAAAAAGGGGTACCTTTTACCCAGTTACGGAAAACAATGCATTCTGGAAATGGGTAAAAAGTACCCCATGATTTGACGTATAAGCTCTTTACCCATTAGTGGGGTAAGGTTTATTTCAAACGTATTCCATGTTTGAAGTCGTGTAATATTAATGTTTAAAATAAAAATAATTTTACGTTTGTTTTTAAAATATTCGTGTTGAAAATAAACGTGAATATTTTTGTTTGGTTTGACAACAATGCGAACACAAATAAATATATTTATTTTAAACATGCTTCTTATGTTTGAAAGAAACATACTTAATTTTAAATTATATTAGCATTTGAATGTAAGATAAAGCAGAAAAATGGATTGCCAAGAGAAGAAAAAACGATCTGCAGGAAGATCCCGAATTCAGTTTGATTGCAATGCTCGTGGCAATAGAGGATTGGAAATGCAGGAATCGGAAGAAGATGAGGATGATGAGAAACCGTTGAGTTAGGTAAGGAAGGAGGATGAATGCAGCACTGATTTTAGTAAGAAGTTGATCCAACCAATTAATCAGTCGAGACAGGATTGTGTGAATATGATAAAGCTTGCTGAAGTTTCGAAGCTAATGGAAAATAAGTGTATGAAGTTGGAGCAATTACGGAAAGAGCAAGAACACAAGGCAGGTGTAAATGAGAAGCATGTTTCGGATCTGTTTGTGGCAGAAGAGAAGATCAAAGACAAAAGCTCGCAGCAAACAGGAAGAAATGACTTTTGCAGGGGGGGAGGGGGAGGTGCTGGAGGTTCCGGAATAGATTCAAAATCCATTTCGGATTTTCGTTTCCCTTTGTTAAGATACTTACCTAGGTGGGTTTCCGCATCCATGACTTCGGTTTTGTTGCGGGCGGTTTTCAGTTGATTGGCAAATCTGGGGCAATTTTTTTCCGAATGTAAACAAGAAGGAAAAAATGCAGGGCATGCTAAACATCGCTTACCCAAATTCTATATTGTTGAAATAAACATGCTTCTGACTTTGATTCAAACATGTATATTTTTGTTGCAAACATGGTTTTAATTTATTTTGAATTATTCATATGTTTATAGAATGAACATTTTTATTTTTGATTTAAATGAACAAAATTCGGTTCCGTGTAGAATATCAGCTTGATTTATTTACTGGTGTGCGTGGAATCTACATGGATGCAGTTGTAGTTCCAACTACGATTTTGGACTTCGAAGTGGATAAAACGCTGTCCAGACTAGAGAGTTATAACATGTTATAACGGTTGTCAACTAATTGCAACACAGAAACCACCATCAAGATAGCACTATAACATTTTATAACTCTGTAGTCTGAACGTACTATAACGAAGGGCAACAGAATAATCAGCAGAAACAGACGATTCTACACTACACAGAAAAAAAAAAGTTGTTGAATATTACATTCAAACAACACAGACGTAATTCCGCTGGTGGTGTAATATTACGTTGTACGATGATTTGCGAACAAAATTACATCCATTGATGTAATATTGTATTTGATTTTTGCTATTACATCATTTTTTTACGTTGATCGATATTCCTTTTTTTTTGCTGTGTACCAGCAACGACACAAACAAACAGTTGGAAATTGGACAGAGCATGTGAAAATCAATCCTCTGCCAGCTCTGCCAAGAAGGAGGGTTGCTGAAGCCACCACCATCGGTGGTGTCAGCACTGTTGCCTACAGTTTTTATGCTATATTGTTTGACTGAATCTCAGCAAAATAAATTGCAGAATTACTCGGCTGTTGGAATCTCGGCGAAAAAATTTAAGTGTGTAAAAACATGATTTCTGGAACTTACGGTTAATCGGTGATACCGGGGCCATAGATCACTCCTTCCTCGTGCTTGTAGCTTTTTTTTTCAAAAAATTTAAAGTAAAATATAAAAACTCGATAAAAAAAAAAACTTTTACTTGTATTTCTCCCCTTAATGAAACTTAAATTTTTAATGATTAGCTTACCTAATTTAAAAAAAAATATATATATATATATATAAAATATTTAATTCCTAGAAGTACGTGCTTGTTGAACATTTATCACGATTATTTTGCCACGCTACAAATCAAACATCTATGTGAACGGAGCATAATTTCTCAGCTGTCTTAGATTGGCAGAT